TTTTATCTAGAAAATGTATTCTTGCATTTAAGAATGTCTATTGGAAAGTTTAAAAATAATTTAAATAGAACTTGTACTTTATGTGATAATAGTTGTACTTAATGTACCAGTTTAAGTATATGTTAAAGTTGCAATTAAGGATTTTATCTTAATAACTCTATTTGTGTTTAAGAATGCCCTGTTGGGAAGTTTAAAAATAATTCTGATAGAACTTGTACTTCATGTGATAGTAGTTGTTTTTCGTGTACAAGTTTATCTTTATGCTAAAGCTGCAATTAAGGATTTTATCTAGAAAATGTTTCTTGTATTTAAGAATGTCCTATTGGGAAGTTTAAAAATAATCCAGATAGAACTTGTATTTAATGTGATACTAGTTGTTCTTCGTGTACAAGTACAACTTTATGCTAAAGCTGCAATTAAGGATTTTATCTCGATAACTCTATTTGTATTTAAGAATGTCCTATTGGGAAGTTTAAAAATGATTTAAATAGAACTTGTACTTCATGTGATAGTAGTTGTTCTTCATGTACAGGTTTATCTATATGCTAAAGCTGCAATAAATTGTTTTATCTAGATAACTCTTTTTGCGTTAAGCAATGCCCGATTGGTAAATTTAAAAATGATTCTGATAAAACTTGTACTTTATGTGATGTTAGTTGTTCTTCGTGTACAAGCACAACTTTATGCTAAAGTTGCAATTTAAACTTTTTTCTAGATAATTCTTTATGTGTTTCGGAATGTCCGATTGGGAAGTTTAAAAATGATTCTAATAGAACTTGTACTTCATGTGATAGCAAGTGTGAAAATTGTACTAGTTTAACTTTATGCTAAAGCTGTAATTTAGGATTTTTTTTTGATAATTAGAGTTGCTTAATAGATTGTCAATAAGGCAAATATAAAAATGCAAGTAATAGATAATGTTCATTTTGTGACAACAAATGTAAATCATGTGATAATGGTTTGACTTGTAATGGCTGTTTTGGAAATAGAGTTGGAGATTAATGCGATTGTCCTTTGTATTCAATCTTTTCAAATGATTATTAAAAATAATGTTTTGAATGTAAAAATGTGCTTATTGGATGTGGGTAATGCACTATAAATGAATGTATCTCATGCATTCCTGATTTATATTTTGATTTTAATTAATTGAAATAATGTGATTCTTGTTAAGAATTAAATGTTTAAATTATTTTTAGTAACGATTTTGAACTATTATTTGTTAATTTTGATTATTTTAATTTAGGAGTAATAACTAATCTAATTTTGAATAATTCGAATTTGCAAAATGATTAATAAAAATCAAGGTTTTCTTATTTACTTTGTTCAGAAGTTTTAAATTAATAATTTATAACATAAAAATTAAGTAATGATATTGCCTGTTCTTTTATTTAAAATAAGCTTACTATTAGATTAAGTCCTTAAAGCATAATAAACAAAGATGATATAATAGTTATTAAAGAAAATGTATTCAAAATTACATATAAAGGAGTAGAATGTACTTAATTTATTTAAAAAATAAAAGGAAAAATTATTTATGATTAAAATCCTTTAAGTCCTATAATTACAATAAATTCGCCAACTTTAATTTCGAAATGTGATGAATTATTTATTCAAATTAGTTAATTATAAAATATAGGAAAAAGAATTCCTAAAGTATAAATTGGATATCAATAGCTTCATCTGAAAGTTAATAATTTATAAATTAATTGAATGCATAATTATAATAATAATAAAATAATTTTATATTAGTTATTCCAAGTATGACTTTTAAAGGAAGTAGCTTTTATCAATTCGAAGTATAAATAGAAACTGTTTTTTAACAAAAGTAAAGTGTAGTTATAAATATAAATACAAAAAATGATAAATTTATTGATTTATAATTAGAAAACAGTAAAGATATTGTTTTTAGGTATGAAGAATTCAAACTTAAAGTTATTTTTTATTATCTATAATGCGATCCTATAGAAAAATTAAAAAAAGTGAATGAAAAAATACTATTAAAAATCGAATAAATTATTAATTTGTAAAATAATTTAAATATAAATTTTGAGAATTAAACTATGGATAATGAACATACAATTAATATATAGCCTTATATCTTAGTTTTAGATTAATAATATGACATAAAAATAACTGTCTCTGATGTTAACAATAGTTAAATATTTTAAGAAATTATACACTCATTTTAGGTAAAAAAAAGCCAACAAATAGTAAAAATTTAAGGTTTGAGCAATATTTAATCTTTTTCGAATTCTTTTTATGTAAATGCTTTCATTGATAATTTAGATTTATCTCCAAGTGAAAAAGAAGTATAAAAAAACAATAACTATGGTATTAAAACTAAATGGAAATGTATAACTGCAAAAAGTTAAAGCGATTGTCGGGATTATAAAAATGATTTAATTGTTGACCCTAATATGGAATAAAATATATTGTAAATAAAAGTATAAGAAAAATCTTTAGAAGCCTATAATCTTTATTATTTTATTTTAGAAGGAGAAAAAGATGGTATCGTAGTTTAAGACATATCAAGTTTTATTATTTTGGAATAAAATATACCTCCTTTAAATTCTATTACATCAATAAACGATTTTTCTTAAAGAATAAATTTAAATTAATAAATTTTTGTATAATTAAATTATGAAGGAAAAAATAATTTAGACAATTTATTTTTTAGTGGCGCTGTATTGTATTAAAACGATGTGAAAAATACTATAAAGTTTTTTCATAATTAAGTAAGATTTTAAACATGGAATTATTTTAATGATTTTTTAAATGAAGAAGAAAATTCTTATTAAATAAGATTTGCAGTTTTTGATCCTTAGTATATAATGCCTTCTTTAATTATTTTTCTTTAAAGCTAATTTGCCGCCTTTAAATTGCCTTTTAAAATTTAATAATTAATAATAAGAAATTTTTAGTTTAAAATAAAATTATGTTTTCTAAATTAATAACTGCTAAGATTAAGATTAGCCTCTATATTATAATTTCTTTTATTATAAAAGTTAAGAAGATTTTTAATATGAAATTTTAAATCCGCAATTTACTAAGAGATATGCTCTAAATGTAAAATCTACTATCAGTAGAATATCAACGATTTTGCCGTTCGGGGCAAAAGTAATCATAGGCTGTGTATTTGATAATTTGGGTGCGGTTAGAAATATGACTTAAAATGTTGAAATAAAAAATTCTTATGAAAACGTTTAATAATATGTTTAGTTAGTGCAAGAAACTTACAAAATAATTATTTAAATACCTTTTAAATAACAAATAGTTATTTAACTATGTATTCTTGTTTAAGATATTGTTTCTAATATATTAATAAACGAAGAGCTAAAATAAGATTAAAATTTAATTAAAATTGTCAAAAATATTTACGAAGATTTACTTTTTTAATAATAAAAATTTAATGATAATCAAGATGTTTAAGTCTAAATATAAATGACAATTAACTTAATTTCTTAAAACTTATTAGATTAAATAATGAATATTTTAAAATACAAAGATATATTAGATTATTTATCGAAAATAGAATAAACTTTAATTGAATAAGAAAATATAATAAAAAAAATATAAGCTAAAGACGTTTAGTAATATTAATAATATTTTTCGTCTATATAATTAGTTTTATAATAAGTTTCTAGTATATAAAGTATTCAAAAAATAGACAGAGGGAAATTTTCGGATGAAGAAAATATTTTTTTAGATAAATAATATGTCGGTTTAATCTAACTTTCATCAGAAATTTTAAATCTCAATGTTATTCCTAACGAGTCTTAGATTTCTTAAAAAAATATAGTTAAATCTTAAAAAGTAAGCTTTAAGTTTTTAAAATAAAATTACTTGACTAATTCTTATGAAAATAATGAATAATAATAAAATTAAGATGATTTTAATGATAATGAATAAAATTAAAATGCGAAAGTTATAGATGGAGAAGGCTAAGAAAAAATTACTTATGATGTATAAATAAGAAAGTATCCTGCTAATATAGTTAAATATGATAAAAGTTTTCCTTATCCAGATAAATAATTATTTTAAGTATTTGATAATTAAATTACTTATTAAGTTGTTAATAATTAAACAAATGAAATATAAAAATAGCCAATTAATACTTAACTTGCTAATACATTCACTCTTCCTAATCCTTCGAATTCTACAACTGGGTTTTCGTGTTTAACTTAAATTAATAATAAATGGGAATAAGGAAACTGTAATAAAGTTTAATAAATAAATAAAAAGAAATTAGTATCTTCAGTTATATGTTAATGTAAAAAATAGGGAAAATAAACACTAGTGGATGATATAGAAAGCATTTTTACGGATAATCAGAATTTAAAAAATATGTTTAGTGAATAAGGAATTGAAAATTTAAAAAATTTTAGCGAATGGTATAAATATGTAACTGTATGGATTATCTATATATCGAATTAATTCTACATTATATTTTTAGTTTATTTGAGATAAAAAGATAAAGCTGCTATAGCTAAAGAAAAAATTACTGATTAAATAAAACAAAATTATATTAAAAAAAGCTCTTTGCATTTTAATGATTAAGGTATTTTTTTAATATATATTTATAATTTATTAACTTATGTTTAAATTAAAATTTAAAATGGACTTGGGATAGAATTTAATTTAAATAATATATGTAGAAATTAGAATTGTTTATAAAAAAATTATAATAATCTATAGCTTAATTAAAATAATAATTAAGAAGAAAATATAGAAGAAAATGTAAAAGAAAATAAATAAGAAAATCAAATAATTGAATAAATTTAATACGATATCTAATTTAACTAATAATAATTTTAGAATAATAAATAATAGTTATAAACGAAACCTGCTTTTATATAAAAAATTAAATCTTTTTAAAGTAATAATAAAATAGAAAATATAAATAAATAAGATTAGAATACGCAATATATTACTGATATTATGGATTCAGTAAAAAATGAATAAATTTCTTCATTAAGTAATAAAACATTTTTTATAAATTATATAAAAAATGAATAGAAAATTAGCGTAAACGTACTTTATTTTCATTAAAAAGAAATTAATCTATAGGAAATTAATAGCCATAATAAGATAATTATGATTAAAATAATTTTAATTTAAAAAATAGTTAACAATTATATAACATAGGGCAAAGTCCTATGCAATCAATACATTTATTAAAATCTTAATTTTGTAAGTCAAAATAAAAATTAAATTTACATT